CGCGTAAAGAAGTTAAAACGATATTTAAAGCATTAAAATTCTACTTATTAGTTCAATAATAATTGTCTATTATAATAAAATAATAGATAATCAGTAATATCAATTTAATTTAAAAAATTAAGAAATAATTTATTTTTTTAATCTATTTTTTCCTTAATATTACAGATTATTTATCACCTAACACATTTTTAAAGCATTAAATTTAATAAAGTCAAAGGATAACATAATAATATTAACCTTATTATTTATTATTTTTTAAGAGGCGTACCAAGTTAATAGTGGATAACTAATATTAACAGTATTATATTGATTTTAAAAAAAAATTAAAAAGACAAAAATCCCTTAAATTACTCATTTATTTTTTCTTTTTATGTTAATTTTTAATGATTTAACATGAGTGAGATCCCTACCATTGTGAAATTAGGTCTTACGACTAAGTCAAACCCTAAAAGCTAGCTCAAAGGGAGGAGGATTGCCCAAGTCTTATAAAAAGTTCACCCATCTCATTAATCACCGATGTGAAACTTTTGTCATTCTTTAACAACCATTCCGAATAAGCGAGTGAATTTCAAGCCAGGGAAACTTCCTATTAGGAATGGCTTCCTTTCAGGTTGTGTTGTATATGCGTTAATCAAATGAGAAACACAAATTTTAAGGGGGACATCGAACCAAAAAGGTTCCAATTTATAAATTTTACATAGAACCTAGATATCATAATAAATTCATAGGGGCTCATAACATCTTATACTATCTTTTTAATTTGTCCTCCTACAAAAAGCAAGACAGTTTGTAAATTATCTATTCTCAAAAGGCATCTAAAAAGTAATGAAAAGAATATACCAGCATTTACAAGGTTCAAGCACGAGTACATATCAGCTAAAGTTCAACTAACATGTTTACGTGATTGGCCGAAATGTTTTAAAAAATATTTTTTGAATTATTTTATTTTTCTCAAATTTACAAAAAATGTATTTCCTTAGAAAAGAAAGTAACGTAAATATTTTCTAAAATCATTTTAAATATCACACCTCAACTTAATTATCATCATAACTTGAGACTTATGTATCAATTTGCGTATTTGGAATTGGGTGATGGAGTTGAATGTCAGAATTATGTTTTGAGTTAAAAATCAAGATTAAATCTCATATCAAATATCAGTTTCAGCCTATTGAAAACTATCTTCCTAATAAATAGATAACTAAAATAAAGATAAATGTTTTCCATCGCTATTTTTTAGAAAAACATTTTTCCCTCTTCCTTAAAAGGCAAACTTAATAGAATTTTTTTGCATTAACTGCATTTACAACTAAAGAAAGTGAGCAACTTCAACCTTTAATATGAAATTCCATATTAACCTCTCTAAAAGGAGAGTTTGGAATCTCACTTCGCTAGAAATAATATCTCAAATGATCATTCAAGTTTAAATCATTTTTTTATATATATTTATTCAAAATTGATTTTTAACTAAAATTAAATTAAAACAGAGTTTGCAAAAAGCCAAACTACTTGCAGAATCTAATGGATGATAAATTTTTGAGTGATTATTTGATGTCTTATATAGAAAATAAAGTATTTAATAATACTCCTACTAATTTTTAATAAGTCTATTATACATGGATTTTTTTTTCTTAAAAAAAAAAAGGAGAACTCATCGAGGATATGGTTGAATTAATTTTTTAAAATTATGTTATTGTTACATTTATTTCTTTATTCCTTTTTAAATATTGATATTGCTTACGGAAGAAGTTGCATATGCTCTCACAATTTTTATCAATTCTACATTTTGTAGTTAGACTTGTAAATTGAACTCTCCAAATTCCTTAACTAAGCAGCTTGATTCTTCAAAAGCTCTCTGCATTCACACATCAAAGTTTTAAAAATATTATGATTTATAATTAATCCTACTTTTGGTTCTTTGGAAGTATTTGATTTGACTTAGTTAATAATTAAAAAAAATATCATGTTCGTTAGTGGGTTCGGTAGCTACGAAACGGAGAAGAGAAGGATAACTTACATATTTTACGTCTGTTTCAAGGAATGTACTAGTCTATTTCTATCGAGTCATGGAAAGAAAATGAAATAGAGGTTCATAAAAAATAATCGATTTCAAGTGGCTATAGAAAATATATATATATAGTATAAAGTAATATATAGCCTGTGACCTCTCCTCTAAACTCTATTCTTTTTTACTAACATCTCGCTCGATAGTAATAGCTTCCTCCTCTCTCTGTTCCATCCTTATAACAACTTTCAAACCTAAACATTATCATTTCAAGAAAAAAGATAAAGTAAATGGAAGTGAAAGAAAAATAGAGTACTAAACGTAATAATATAATAGTTTACTTAGAAATAACTCGTGATATACTGTCTTGATTTGCTCAATCAATATATATTTATATCAGTTTTTGCTGTATATATAGATGTATGAATATGATTTTACAAATAATTTGTGGGTTAACCAATTTGAAATAATTACTATTGTGAATGTAATGTCCTTGTCATTTGTGGGGCAACAAAATTGGAAATTATTGTTGTCTAACGTCATAACACTTCCTGTCGGTGAAACTATATATTATAATCTTTTATATATATAAAACTTAAAACTAATATTATTGTGGTTTATTAAAATGAACTTTATAACAAAGATTTGTGATAAACACAGAATGAAGAAATTTTGTTTATTTATCCTCCGCGGTTTAGGTGACACATTTTAAATAAATTTATCTTTGATTATTTTTTTTATACATATTATTTAAATATAATGAATTGTAAATAATTGATACTTATAATAGTTTTTACACAATTGACAAATATATAAACTTCAGTTAATTTTTTTAAAATGTCATGAGCATATTTTCGTCAAAACTTAAATTGTTTGACTCTCGAGAAACGAAATGTGTCACATAAATTGAGATAAATAGAATAGTTAAGAAAAACTAACGTATGTATTAGATTTGAATATTATTAATATTATATTTAATATATATTTTTAATCAATGTATAAACTACTATATAGAAAATATTAGCTACGCAAAAGATCTGAATATATGGATTCGCATGGTTAAGATATAATAATAATGATTTAAGATGTAATTAAGAAAAAATTTTAATATTAGAAAATATTTAAGATAATCGAAGTTAAGAAGAAAATTTATTTGTCAATGCCTTTGTGAATAGTTAATCGATGTTCTGAGGCACTATTTAGAAAGATAGTTGAAGTGAAAAGTTTTTTTTTAAAGATATTGGAGATTTAGTATTATATATAATTTTTAATTTATATATTTTATACAATTTTTTATATACAAAATATAATTTTTCGGCTTATTATATTGTACTATTGCAATTCAAAAAGATCCAACTACTATCAAATTGGGCTATTGGAATATGCCATGTGCTGTTGGAAGATTATTCTCTTTCACGAAAAAGGAAAAAGGAAGATAGAATACACAATGATTTGCAATTTGAATTGAGAATTTTCAAAATTACAAAGTTTAGAAACCTAATGAGACATAAATATCTAATAATTCCTAATTACATAATATAGCTACGTATATCGAAGTAAATCATCTTAATACAATATCTCTTTAAAAATAGTTAGAAAAAAAAATAAATTTTAAGAAAGATTATTACGTGATGTTTTTTTTTTTGTTATACGTTTGTTTTCTGAAAAATTTTGTGTGTGTAAACTAAGTTAAAATATATAAAATGGGGATAAAAACATGTGCATTTTGTCCAATCACGTTTTTTTTAAAAAAAATATTATTTTATGGTTAGGTAAAAACAAACAAAGCAATGACAAGAAACTATAAGTGAAATTGTTTGGTAACATTATATAGATTTTTTTAAAAACTACTTCAAGATAATTTTTATATTTATAAAATTTAGGGGATTACCTTTTCTATGTAATTATTATGCTTTTCTACAAATAAATAATATATGTTCAGTTTTAGACCTCCAAATATCACAACTTAACTATGCAAAAAACTTAGAAGTTGCTCGTCTCACGTGACTTATCGCAACTCTTAGGGCATGTGAGATAAAATTAAGATATGATATTATTTAAGATAAAATTAAAGTTTTATTTGAACATGTAATTTGGAATATCAAATTGTATACTTTGGCTCATCAAAATAAAAACTTCATAATTTGTGAAAAGTTAAAATTATCCAAATTTTTTATTCAATATGAAAAAAAAAGAGACTATTACAAATGTAAAATACAATATCACACACAAGGGTGTCGTAACCTTGTAGTAAATGAATTAGTTTAGAGTCACGAGATCTCAGGTTTAAATCATAGTAAAAATTAAAAAAAAATGCTAAGCGATTTTCTCATCTATTATAATCGATGGTGAGAAGTGACAAATATCTAATGAAATTCAAATCTAAATTTTAGAAGAAATATCCAAACTCCGTTTATATTTCATAATTTTAAATTATGAAATAATACCGCATATCCAACTGCCTATTAAAAATCTTTCATGTCAAACGAAAAAAAGAAGTGATGAAAGTGAAATTTAAAAGAGTATCTCAAGGCTGGCATGATAGGTACATGGGCAAATCTGGATTTTTGTGTTTGAAAATGAGTAAATGACTGATCAATTTGGATTTTAGAACAGTTGTCACTTAATTTATGGAAGACTCCCTACTTTTGTGGTTCGATCTTTTCCACGTCCATAAAAAGGTTTTAATGCACCTTTTTAGAATCCAATTACTTCATTCGTCCACGATTGTTTTTTATTAGGATACTCTCTTCAAGAAAATTTAATATAAGGTGTAACTTGATTAATATAATCCTATTATATTAAGAATATCAAAAATTTACATAATTTTTTAATTGATCATAATAGAGTAATTATTAAGCGCAGAATTGGGAAAAAATGAGTAATTTTTTTTTTGATTATTTAAATTGATAATTAATTTTGGACATTTATTTTTAATATATATGTCAAACAATTGTGGACGGAGAGGGTATATACGTGTATAACTATATATAAAGACAAAAAACAGAGGTAAAATCAAATCATCATGAACAGTACATCTATGTCTTCTTTGGGAGTAAGAAAAGGTTCATGGACTGAACAAGAAGATCTCCTCTTGAGGAAATGTATCAACAAGTATGGTGAAGGAAAGTGGCATCTTGTTCCCATAAGAGCTGGTAATTAAACTAACTATCACGCTATTTTATCTGTCTGTCTTATTTTATGTGACATATTTTATAAAATCACGTGAAAATATACTTGCAGGTCTGAATAGATGTCGGAAAAGTTGTAGACTAAGGTGGCTAAATTATCTAAGGCCACATATAAAGAGAGGTGACTTCGCTTCGGATGAAATAGATCTCATTTTGAGGCTTCATAAACTTTTAGGCAACAGGTATATATATATATGCAATTTTTATGTTTTAACATATATATATATGTGATATTTCATCCAAATGTTACTTTATTTTATGTAGATGGTCACTTATTGCTGGTAGACTTCCAGGAAGGACAGCAAACGATGTGAAAAACTATTGGAACACAAACCTTCTAAGGAAGGTAAATATTACTAAAATTGTTCCACGTGAAAAGTTTAAGAGTAAACGAGGAGAAATTAGTACTAAGATTGAAATAATAAAACCTCAAGCTAGGAAGTTCATATCGAACACAGAGAAGAATATTACAAACAATATTGTAATTGTAGACAAAGAGGAAGAATGTAAGGAAATAATAAGTGAGAAGCAAACTAGAGATGCATCGATAGACAACGGAGATGAATGGTGGGCAAATTTACTGGAAAATTGCAACGACGACGTTGTTGAAGAAGAAGAAGGAGGAGGAGGAGGTGTAACTGATTATGGAAAAACAATAACAAGTTTGTTACATGAGGAAATAACACCACCATTAAATGGTGGAGGTAACATCATGCAACAAGAACAAAGTGATGGTTGGGATGATTTTTTTGTTGATATTGATATATGGGATTTACTTAATTAAAGAAATATGTAATGGCAATATTATTGTAATCTTGTAATAGGGATATACATTTATTCTTTATAATTTGTATCCCAACAACAAGTTGTGAGGAAAGTAATGCTCAATATATATTTTTATTAATATATAAGTGCATGTACTCTGATAGTGTTTAGGTTATTTTTTTTTTTTTGGTGTTCGATATCCATATTAAAATTTTGGCTATTTATGCTTGGTTATATATGTTCAACATCTTTATGTATATTCCCTCTGGTTTATATTAAAAAGAAGAATTGTTGAGATTTTTTTTTTGTCATTCAAAATAAGTGAAATTTTTAAAAGTTCAAGAGAATTATTTAGACCTTTTCTATATTTACCTTTTATTTAAGAAGGTTTTTAACTATTTCTTCTGTTCACTTTTATTTGTTCATTATTTCAAAATAAATATTTTACTTTTATTTGTTACTTTTAATGTAGGCGGTTGCGCGTGATAACTAGTCATGTTAATTTTTTTTATTAATCAAGCTAAGTCACAAAGAAAAGTGAATAAAGAAAATACTTTATATTTTCTAGGAGAATAAATTTATAATTACAATTAAAAGGAGGAGTGGCTCACTGATTTTGGCTTGGGACTTCCATATTATCCCTTACCAGCAAAGAGGTTTGCCTTTTAGGTATCGGATTTATCTAGTACGAATTACCTCTCTCATGTGATTTGTAAGCTATTACATAAGAACAGAAACTCTATCGTGTGCACACCCAAAAAGTAGCGACTATGAATTTTCTTTGTCATGAAAAATACTGTAACCTTTGATTTATGTATTTACAAATATTTTCTCAAAAGATATATAGTATCCCCAGCATTCAATTAATATGAACTAAAGAGAGAGTACATATGCTTTTGTGTTTTATAGTGTCAAGTTCATAATTGATACTCCCTCCGTTCCTATTTAGTTGTCCACTTTAGAAGTGACACACATATTAAGAAACCAATGATTATCATAAGTTAGTTACAATTTTACTCCTAACTTAAATGATTATTCAACTCTCCAAGTATAATAAATGTAGTTTCTGGTTCCAAAGAGCATGCATTACAACTTAGTAGTACTATAAATTTTCTAAATTAAATAAGAATATATTAGAAAAAAATTATTTTCCTTGCTTAATTTGTTAAAAATAAACAAATAAATATGAATAGATTATAAAAAAATATGAACAAATAAATAGGTAGTGTAATTTGTGGACTAACCAAATTGGAAACAATTAATATTGTGAATGTGATGTCCCTATCATTTGCCAGCTAACCAGCTGAAAATAATTATTGTCTAGTCATTAAATTTCTTAAATTAGTCGTCTCAATATAATCTTGTGTTAAATTTAATAAGTTGATATAATGTAACGATCTGTTAGATTGTTTTTAGTTCTAGACATATTCTTTCCTAAAAGATCCTCTTGTAAAATTATAAATGAAAATTTGAACTATTCATTTATTGCACCTTTTTGTGGTGCAGATCCAATTTCGGATACAAGCACACAGTTTGAGTTTGGAGTATTTTAAAGTTGTAGTGAGCTATTTGGTTGTTTCGAAGTCTATATCTCTCTTTATCTTATTATTTATTTTATTATTTTAGTATTTTGAAAAAATATTTTTTACGTTTAAATTTGTCAGTTTAGTTTTAGACTTGAATTGTATTTTAAAAGTTCTTATATTTATGACACTGAAATCTCGAGTGATAATTTAGCTTTTCCACATTTCATACTTATGAAAGACTTGATGTTTGAGGTATTATACTTATTATTACCTTTTCACCTTAATTATTAAGTTAAGTTGATAAAATAGTGTACTGATTTATCTATCGATGGAAAATTAGGTGTCATTACGACATATAAATTTTGAATTGCGACAAATATTGAAATATTATTAGCTTGTTGCAAACTTGAATTTGAAGAAACACTAAAAAGCAAATTTAATCTTTTTGTAGCAATATACTTTGTGAGAATGTTTGCCAATTTAGGAGACTTCAACCTATTCAATAATAAATATCAAACACTTTGCAAAAAAACAAACTCCAAAAATATAATTTTTAAAAGAAAAAGAAAAAATAATAAAGAAAACCCCAAAATATGAGATGGACATTTTTAACAATCTTTTTTTGGGCCAAACATGTCGGATTTTTGTGTGAAGGAGGAAGAGAAAGGGTACCAATAAGCAGAGTTGTAGCAATCATGCATGTTTTGTCCTTACTTGATAATAGAAACAAACAATTCTTTTACATCTGTCGGGTATTATATTGGGATAAAACGTTTCGTAATAAAGATAATTTTATGCGTAAAACAATTCAAATTTAAAACACATAGTTAAGAATAAAAAAGTATATATCATTAATTTTTCACATACTTCTTAGATGTCTCTTGATTTATCTATTTATTTCGTGTTCAAGTTAATTTAATTAGTCTAGAAAATTAAAAAGTGAAGACTAATTGAAATATTAAATATATGAAAATATTTTACAAAAGAAATAGGAAAATAATTAAGAGTACAAGATTATACTACTAAAAAATATTATTTATTTGTAAATAATTTTATTATTTTCATATATATTTTGATGAATCGATGAAAAAAAAAATAGTAATATTTTCATACAAAAGAGATAAGAAAGTTTCCGACTATATCAGGAAGAATTTATTTTTCACTAATTCATTTTTCCAGTGAACTCATTTGGTGAAAAATAAATGGGTACATCATGTGCTATAACATGAAATTCCTACCGACTCGTGATGAAAAAAATCATTTATTTTTGTAGTGTTATCCATATAAATATTGTAGTTGTTTTATATTTAAAGAGGAAACTTTAATTTATACTCCATCATACCAATTTTCGTAAATATATTTGACTGAAAGTTTAACAATGAAAGAAATAACTTTGCAAGTTGTATAGTCCAAAATAAGATATATATTTATGTGGTTATATATAAGTCATATTCTCATTAAAATAAAATAATAAATTTAGTTAAAAGTTGAATTATTATTAAATATAAAAGCGAAGTTATTTTTTTTGAATCTAACTAAAAAAATTATATAAAAAAAATTATTTTACGATTCAAAACTCAGTTAATTGAAATTCAAATTTCGTCTCTACCTCTCCCATGGATTAATTACTCTCCTAATGATCGACTAGTACTCTATCACAAAAGCCACATTTTGTATAGAGAAAAATTAAATTCATAATCATATATGAATATCTCATAAAGGGAGGAATAAACAATGTTTCACGTAGTAGCTTTATGAATTATGAGTCAACTTAAGTCCGTTATTAGTGAAATTAAAATTAAAATCTAAATTAAATTAATTTAATTAGATTTTAAAATTATTAAAATCAAATCAAATATATATATATATATAT